GGTTTTGGGTTTGGCGTTTAGGGTTTAGGGTTTAGGGTTTAGGGTTTAGGGTTGAGGGTTTAGGGTTTAGGGTTTAGGGTCTAAGGTTTAGGGTTTAGGTCGGCTACACCGTAAAACTTAATCCCATGACTCTAAACCCTAAACCCGAAAAAGAGAAAACCGATATCCCAAACCCCAGCCCCGAAACCCGAGACCCCGAATGGCTCTTTACAGGAGGTATGAATGGCTGCCCAAGAAGTTTCGGAGAAGTACTTCAGGTCGGGGCTTTAGGGGTTTAGTAGACTTAGGGTTCAGGGCGTAGGGCTTCTTCCTGGCCCATGCACCCCGAACAAGCAAGACTTAGAATTCAGGGTTTAGGACGTTTGTGCCTTTGGCCGGCTTGCTGGAAAAATTGGCGTTATGCTGCTAAATCGCGGGAGAAAGTAATGACCACACGGACGAACCATGCCAAGGGTCTAGGGAGGCGCTGATGGCTTAGGGTTCAGAAGTTTGGAATTTAGGGCTTAGGGTTTAGGAGGTTAGGGTTTAGTGGTTTAGCGGTTTAGGATCCTAAACCCTAAACCCTAAACCCTAAACCCTATTAGGGTTTAGGGCGTTAGGGCTTAAGCTGGAGGGGCGTAGGGCCATTCCTACGGCTCCCGCCTGCATGAGGGTGTGGCTCACCACGCCGATCCTGACCTGACGATCCGTGGCAGGTGTGGTTTGGGGTTTAGGGTTTAGGGTTTAGGAAACAAGGGTTCTGAGCCCTAGGCCCTAAACCCTAAACTGTAAAACCCCCAAACCCTAAGCCCTAAACTCTTCCAGGGTGATACCCTTGTCCAACTCAAGGCCCCTTTCAACCCCCACAAAAGAGTTCCTAAGCCGTTTAACACAATATAACAAGCTATTGCAGTCCCAGCATAAAGCCCGTTTAAGTCCCAAGCCCTAACTTACGAGGTTTCTTAGGGTTTAGGGTTTAGGGTTTAGGGTTTAGAGTTTAGGGTTTAGGGTTTAGCTGTTCAGGGTTCTAAAACCAAACCTGCACCATGGATAATAATGCTATTCCGTGGGCTTCTGATATAAATATAGTACACTATACGCCAAATTAACCTAAGTAACAGCATCAAGCTCCCAGGACCCTAAACCTAAACCCTCATGGAAACCCTTCTCGATCCCTTCATAGAACCCTTTAAAGTAACGCTGTACAGTAACCGTACTCTAATCATCACGGCCACTCCACCCTAAACCCTGTAGCTGGTAACCCTTGTAATAACACGGAGAGTAACCCCGGAACCAACGCTTTAAACTTACCTTGTTTGAATTAACCCTAAACCCTAAACCCTAAACCTTTAAGACCCTGCATTAGGGTGCCAACACTTCTCTCCAAGCAGCCTCCAGCTGCCGAGTATCTGCCCGCAATCTTTTGAAGGCGTCCTGCGCGAAAAGGGTTTAGGGTTAAGGGCTTAGGGTTTAGAGTTTAGGGTTTAGAGTTTAGGGTTTAGGGTTTATCTGCCCGCAATCTTTTGAAGGCGTCCTGCGCGAAAAGGGTTGAGGGTTCCTTTCAGGTTATAAGGGTTCCTGTAAGGGATCTATGGGGGTTCCAGAAGGGTTTTCTTACGGTTTTAAAACTTTAAGGCTTTAGGGCCTTTAGGGTTTGGCTAAGGTGTAGGATTTGCGGTAAAGAAACACTGCAAGAAGCTACTGCCGAGTCCTACCACTGGTCCCTGACTTTAAATCAGAACCGAGACTCGAGAACTTGCACCTCAACCCACATCCCAAACCCTCAACAACTAAAACAAACAGATACAACCCTCATGGATCCCATTGAACACCATTAAACACCATCATATCTCCAGAAACCTCTGCAAACCCACATTACACTCCAAACCTTTAGCCTCAACCATTTAGCCTAAACCCCAGAGCCCTCCTTCATCTTCACGATGGGAGTCGTATCTGTGGCTGCAGATGACTTTTCCTGAGCATGCGGTGAGGGCACGATGCTTCAGGCTTAGGACTAGGAGGGTTGAGGCTTGGGTTTAGGGTTTAGGGTTTAGGGTTTAGGCCTAAACCCTAAACCCGAAACTCTAAACTCTAAACCCTAAACCCTAAACCCTGAACCCTGAACCCTAAAGGCTCAAGGGTTCTAGCAAGGGTCCAAGGGTTCTGTATGCAGGTTCTATACGGGTTCTGTAATGGATTCAAGTTGGATTTAGGGAAGGCTTGGGGCCGAGGGTGTGGGGCTGGTGACGCTTACCTGTATATAATTGGGTTTAGGGTTTAGGGTTTAGGGTTTAGGATTTAGGGTTTAGGGTTTAGGGTTTAGGGTTTAGGGTTTAGGGTTTAGGGTTTAGGGCATTCCTGATAATCCGAAAGCCCTGAAACAAGGATACCAAGACACTAAAACCCTTCGAACATGAATTAGAGGACACTTACAGACATCGCGCAGAGCCCTATAATCCCCCGCGAACCTTCAAAATCCAGACATCTTACTTACGCCCCTGATACGCAGGACCCTCAATATAGTATCATATGATGTAGTAGTAGAGTATAGTATAGTATGATATACTAAACCAAAATAAAACATTATGATACATTCTACTATACTGTATTATATACTACACTATAACCTGATGTGGTGTGATGTGATCTGATGTAATGTAATGTAATGTCATGTCATGTGAAGTGATGTAATGTGATATACTGTGATGCAATGTAACTTTTAGCCATGTAATGTAATGGGACCCCGGCATCCATTTCATTCTTAACGAGGTCGAGCTCTTCCCCGACGTTCTTCAGCTCAATCTGCAGGTTCATCACCTGCCCGAACCACAGGTTTAGGGTCCAGGGTTTAGGCTCCCAAACCTAAACCCTAAACCCTAAACCCCAAACCCACAACAATGTTTCGGAGGTCTGAGGTTTCTTTGGGGGCTTCTTGTCTAGGGTTTAGGAATTTGGAGCGGGAATCGAAACACAAACTACGCACAAAAACACAATAAACCCTGAAAAGCCCAAAACCCTCAATGACCGTAATATCCTAGAACCTTAGAACCCTAGGAACCACAGAAAAAAACAACCTAAGAATTGCACACAGAAACCCTGGGGATCCCTGAAGCAGATCAGGCCCCGCACCACTTCGTTCAGCTCCGTATACTGCTGCTGCACCTGCCGGGAAGTCGGGATTGAAGGCGTATACGGTGCACTAAACCCTAAACCCTCAACCCTAAACCCTAAACCCTGAACCCTAAACACTAAACCCTAAACCCTAAACCCTCAACCCACGCGAGCCCTCACGGATTCCTCCGAAGTTTGGTGGGGAGACGACTTGGGCCATGAAGGTGGTTGCGTCAACCCTAGGCCCCCAAAAAGGCCCTGCTAGGGTTGAGGGTTTAGGGTTTAGGGTTTAGGGTTTAGGGGTTTAGGGGTTTAGGGTTTAGGGTTTGGGATTTAGGGTTTAGGGTTTAGGGTTGAGGGTTGAGGGTGAGGGGCTTAGGGTTGAGGGTTCAGAGTTAGTCTTTGGGGTTTAGGGTTTAGGAGGGTTGAGGGTTTAGGGTAATGAAAACCTAAGTGGGTCTACTACGACTCGTACTGGTACTGGTACTAACTCGTACTAGTACTACTCACTTCCGGGTTTGCCTAGACTGGAGTTGTTGGAAATTATGGCTGTTTTTGCTTTGTTTTTTTGCCAGTCCTCTTCAGATGACAGCACTTCATGCAGCAGCAGTTCATGGTTGCTCTAAACTATGTAAAGGATCAGGGACTTAGCAACTAAGGTTAGGAGTTAGGTAATTATACTTATACTTGCTTTTTTGGAACAACTGCCACTTTCGATCCTGATAACTGAGCTGATCCGTCTATTGCGGCCTGCGAAGATGGCATCGCTTCAATGTTGCGTCGAGACATTGATGGATTGCCTACTAACGCAGGCCACCCGGGTCTGATGTACATGCTGCCCTGATGCGTGCATCACTGCGGTCTCTTCATGGTTAGTATTCAAGTCGTTCCGTTTATCAAGCCTCCTCATGACCATTTGTTTGTGTTCGAACTCCCGCACGCATGATGCTGGTTAGCCGCATGATGTTAGAGATTGTTCTATTGACACTACTGACTGTCAGAGCTGCCTTCATTCTCCTGTTGATCATAACTTCGTGATTTCAAGTAGCGCAGCTCAATACATTGCTATTTGCAGTATGGAGACATGACCCTTACGACGTCTTTACATGATCACTTCTGTTTGGTTGAGTATTTGATGGTGCCGAGAGCAACGCCTGCTGTAACTCCTCCTGCTGCTGCCGGTAGTCCAGCGCACGATGGTCGAACTGGGTGTTGATGAACGCCTTTCAGGGGTTTGCTGGGGTCGGCTATCGCTGAAAATCACAACCAAAACATGAGCAGACCAACAAGTCTCTGGAAGCGCTATACTCTTGCTTGTGTCTGCTCGTTGCTCTTCCAGCTCAAACTGTCTGCTTCCAGCAACCCAGGAAAATTGCGTCAAATGCTCGACCTTCCACAGGTGAATGTCTACACCTCTGCGTTTTGGCTCTCAGGAAGATAAGGAGCGGATAAGTTTCAACTCTATGTAAGACTGTATGACTTTCTCTCCAATCCTTGTGCATATGGTAAGAGTTCCAAGGCTGACTATTGTAGTGCCTTCGATTCAACCACAATCTATTTCGTCTTGCAAGATTGCTCTTCTTCCCTACGCCCAAAACCCTAAAAACCGGACATGCCCACCCAAGTCCGAGGCGTTAAGCCGAGCTTGATGGTGAAACCGGGGCATGCTAGGACCTTATAGAACCCCCTTTCTGGAACCTGTAAGAGACCCTAAACCCTAAACCCTAAACCCTAAACCCTAAACCCTAAACCCTGAACCCCGTTTCTGGAACCTGTAAGAGACCCCTATAGAACCCTAGAGCCCCACGAAACACCCTGCACGGCGCAGAGGTTCGGGTTTAGGGCTTAGGGCGCAGGGTTTAGGGTTTAGGGTTTAAGATTTTGGGTTTTGGGCTTAGGGTTTAGGGTTTAGGGCTTTGGGTTTAGGGTTTAGGGCTTTGGGTTCAGGGTTTAGGGTTTCGGGCTTAGGGTTTAGGGGTTAGGGTCTAGGGACCTGAGATGGCAAGGCAATGAATGCTTGAGCCGACCGTCACCACACTCTGGGTCCCAAGACAAGGGTCAAACACACGCTTAGTGGTGGAATATGGTGGTTTTCATGATTTACCTCTACTAGTTTGGTGGTTCCTTCTTATATCTACAGTATCACATCCTCCAAAGCCCCAAAAGCCTATTCTAACGTTAGGATTTAGGGCCGAAAACCCTCGGAGCATGAAGCCACAGCCCCCAAAGTTCCGACTGCCTTCGCTTATGGGATCTTTGAGGGCGAGTACGAGGGATTCTGAGCGAACCTGAAGGAAGTGTTGGGAGAACTGGGAGCTACTAGGCTTTTAAACCCCCTTGACCCACCGTCTCTCAGAGGATCTTGTCGTATGCATCTTGAACCTTCGGAAGCAAAGCAAGACCAAAACAGACAGAAGACGAAGCAACAGGAACACAAAAAAAAAACCTAAACCCTAAAGTCTAAGCCGCAAGCCCTAACCCTAAACCGTAAGGGTAATAAGCACTGCTCAAAGAAAGACCGTAGGCGCCCTAAACCCTAAGCCCTAAACC